TTGGTGACTAGAATTTTCTTTTGGGGGTTTATGAAAGATATGACTGAAGCACCTGCAGGAACAGTTTCCAGGCTGCATCTTCATCCTGACTGTGGCTAGAAAATGATGTTGAGACCTAAATGGAGTTAGTGTTTGATAGCTTCTGGTACCTGATTATGTTGCTTATGGGGCAGGAGAAAAGGGTAAATCATCAGGTTAGGTGAGAAGCATAATTAGAAACAGAAAGCTAAGTCTGAACAAAGTTGCTGAAGTGTTGTCAAGCTAACTCTCTGGTATAGTTTTGCCATGGCAGTATATTTGCAAAGTCTCTAACAATTGCTTGGGTATTATCCCTCTCAATAATTAGGAACGTATGTCAATCCTGGTCTTTATTCTCCTTATTACAGAGAAAAAAGGCAGTTAAGTTAAACATGAAAACTAGCATGGACCCAAAGTCTGGAGCCTGAAAAAAATTGTCCAAGTCCTAAAAAAAAATTAGGCCTCAAACTAGCTGTGTGACCCTAGGCAAGTCACTGAACCCTGTTTGCCTCAGTTTCCTCATCTCTAAAATGAACTGAATAAGGAAATGGCAAACCATTCCAGTATCTTTGCCAAGAAAACCCCAAATGGCGTCTCAAAGAGTCAAATGTAACTGAAATGACTCAACAGCAATAAAAGGAATCTCTGAGACAAGGACCAACACCTGGGTGGCAAAATGAGAGAATGAGACACAGAGGTAATGGTGACTCAGGCCTAGTCCTCATCTTCTGTTTGCCTGGATGCTGTGATAGGAGGCAACAATGCTTTCTCCAGTATTTTTCAGTTCCTGGGATAATACCATGTTATAAATGTCCTTAGCTGGGATCATAGGCCATGAAGTTGAGCTCACCCAGACCTGTTGCTATAGATACTGACCTAACAAGCATCCTACTGTAGATAGCTTGATGTATGTTGCTCCTACTGTATTGTGGAGGTGGTAGAAGAAACCCAGACCAGTAATGGAGAGGTGGTGCTTTGAGAAATGAGTGTCTCAAGTGTGCACTATTTGATTTACTGTTATTATTTTATATTGTGCTTTATTATTATTTTATTTATTATTATTATTTACTTTGCATCCTATCTTAGGGTCTTTTCTTAAACTCCAATTCTACTCTTTGTCATGTGATTTATTCTGGTTTATTCTGGTAATAGTCAGTGGTGCTGGGGCTCCTGGGCAGTGGATTAGGCAACTAGGTGGTACAGTAGATAGAGCTTTAGACTTGGAGTCAGAAAGAACTGAGTTCAAATTTGGCCTCAGACACCCACTAGCCATGTGACCATGGGCAAGTTGCAACCTGTTTCCTCATCTGTAAAATGGGGATAACAATAATACCTACTTCCCAGGGTTGTAGTAAGATTAAAATTAGATAGTGTTTGTAAAGAGCTTTGCAAACCTGGAAGCACTATATAAACACTAGCTATTTTGATTAGTGGATTGGGAACATGGATCTTGGGGTCACCAAGAGAGGGCACATTTGGGGAAGGTGATACATTAGTTAAAATTTTTAAGTGCTTTTTTAAATATTTAGACATTATTTTAGATTATTATAATATATTATTAGAAGTATTTCTTCTAACCAGTGATTTTCATCACTATTAGATTCAGTATAATTAGCAATAATAAATGCAGTCTTCTAGAAATTACAAGTGGCTAAAATGTGGGTTCATTAGCACTTTAAAATCTACATGCAAGGTTAGGTTAAGTGACTTTCTCTGGAACACATCAGCACACTACCCAAGGAGACTGTAGGACATTAGTTTCAAAAGCCTTTAGGCAAGAAACCAGATTTATCTGTAAAGGTGAAGGCATGGGTTCAGCCTAGAGCCTAGGAAATGAATGAAGTGGTCTCTGGTAGGTTTTCCCAGGTTCTCCAAATCTGTAATTTTCTAGGCTGCAAAAGGCTGGACTACCCTAGATGTTTTAATGTTAAAGGTAGGCGAAGAGTACCATCCCAGTCTATCTCACTCCTTTTCCCTCCCAAATGTCTCTAACTCCTCCCCAGGTGGAGAAAGTCTTTCTGCAAATAAAGATAAGGCTTAACATGCAAATACACTGGTGTATGAATACTCTCATCTCTAAGCCATAGATGACCAATAACATATTAGTTCCTAACCTTTTTTGGAGAAGGGAATTGGGGGAGATACTGGGAGGACATTGGGTGGCTGACAGCTGCTGTTGGGGAGGAGATAGGGAAAGCCAACTTTGCTTCTTTCTGAGTTTTGCTTCTGAGGTCCCTTCCAGGTCTGGATCAATGATGTGGCATTATGATACAAGGAAGTATTTATTATAAGGGACCAAAATTTCAGATTGTCTCAAAGGACCAAAGTGCATCAATTGTTACAGTCCAATTAAAAAAAATCCATACGGCGAAGAAAATAGAGATCATAGGATGGAATGTTTATTTCAAAGTAAAATCCTATTATCTACTTATAATTACTTGTATTTAAAGTTCATTTGTACCAGTAGAGGAAATCATGGTCAAATTACACAAAATAAACATCTTTTTTAAAATCTTGCATGAATTGATACAGTTGACTCACCGCCACTTTCTCGGTCTGCATGGAGTTTGAGGAGGGGTGAGACTAGAAGTATTGAACTCTAAGCAGAAGTGGATGGCTGTTTAAACCCTCCTCCTCTGCCCTGTTCATGGGGAATCAAGGACAGGAAAGCAGAACTCTTAGTTTGTGGGCCAGCCTCCTGAGCCCCAGGCTTCTGAGCATTAAAAAGCTGCCATGGCAACGTGACATTTTCAGCATCGTTGCAATGTTGCTAGCATCAACATCCCAGAAAGGACTCCAGATAAATGAACTAGTGGACAGCAAGAACTTCTATAAGGAACGGAAGTGATTTTTCCCTTATTAAAGCTTTGGGGAGGGATCTAGACTCTTGATTTCTTCTTAGGAACTTGGACAGAACTTAGTGTCTTTTCAGAGTTATATGGGAGCATCAAGAAGTCAAGTGATTTGTCCGAGGTCACCCAGCTAACATGTCGTTATTGTAGTTCAGTGTCTTTTAATCCAGTCTGACTCTTCATGATCCCATTTGGGATTTTGTTGGCAAAAATACTGGAGTGGTTTGCCATTTCCTTATCCGATTCATTTTACAGGTGAAGAAACTGAGGCAAACAGGGTTAAGTGACTTGTCACACAGCTAGTATGTGTCTGAAGCCAGATTTGAACTCAAAAAGATGAGTCTTTCTAACTCCAAGCCTGGCATTCTATCCACTGTGCCATCTAGCTGCTGCCTAGAAGAGTGAATTGGATGTTCTGTGCAGTAGAGTCCTGACAGTACTCCTCCCTCCCCCTTCTCCCCTTTTCTCTGCAAGGGAATTGGGTATATGAATATACCTTTTTAGGCATGCCTTTGGTAGCTACTATATATTAGAAGCACAACTTGAATCCAGATCTTCTTGATTACAAGGTTGGTTCTTGATTTTGTACCCTGCTTCTGAAATAGATATTGCAGTGAGATGTTAGGTAGAAGCTAGGTAGTGCAATGCTGGTAGAGCAATGGACCTGGATTCAGGAAGACCTAATTAAGTTCAACCTTAGACACTTAGTAGTTGGGTGACCTTGAGTAAGCCACTTAACTTCTATCTGCCTCAGTTTCCTCATCTGTAAAATGGAGATGATATTAACACCTCCTTCCCAGGGTTGTTGTGAGGATCAAATGAAGTAACATATGTAAAGTGCTTTGCAAACCTTAAAACCCTATATAAATTCTAGCTATTATTATCAGCCAGATGGTTAATGTGATCTAAGTTTGATGGTTTGGTTTATTGAGATTTATTTGGTTTCTCACCTGCTACCATATTTATGTATAGGGGTGGGGGGAGGGCTTATCACCAGAAGGATAACCAGATAATAAACTGTTTTGGTTCCAGAAAAAAAAAAGTCTTCAGTTTCTCAATTCAACTGAATTTAGCATGTATCCACACAGGTCATAGCATCAGAATTCCAGAGCTGGAAAGTTCCATCTAGTTAAGTGACCTGCCCAAGTCATCCAGTACGCATCAAAGGTAGGATATCAACCCAAGACCTTTGACTACAGAGCCAGTATTCTCTATGGGTCCTATGAAAAAACGTAAGAGATCTTTTGTTTCAGATCTTCAGAGACTTGAAAGGCTAATGTCAACCCAGAAATAGCCTGCTCCCTTAGGTTGTTAGATCAAATTCCACTTTTGGGTTGGACAATTTGAAAAATCCTATTACCTACAATCTCAGAGGCCAGCCTGCTGCAATTGCCTGGGTTGAGTCTATTTGTAAGAAAAAAAAGTCTTCAGTCTTTCAATTCAACTGAATTTAGCATGTATTTATTGAGCATCTTCTCTGTGTCCTGTTTTCCCAAAGCTTGTAGTTAAGCACACACACACACGCACACACACACACACACACACACACACACACACACACACACACTGTAAAATTCCCAAATACTGAAAGCTTGTTTTGCAATGCAATGACAACTGAAAACTGATTTTTTCTTTTTTTGTATTTGGAGAGAGAAAAGCCCTCACAGAGCACATATTTATCTTGATCTGTGCTCACTACAGCTGCTGGAATGTTTTCTCTGGCCAATTTGTAGTTGATCTTTATAAAACAGATCCCTCCTTCTTGATCTAATTTTTTTTCCCCTGTACATTTGTTCTGCTTAAACTTTTCAGCACATTTGTTAACTTGAGTGACATTTCTTAAATCGCAATCCCATTAACTTGGAGCGTCATCCAATCCAGGGGATGCTCATCGTTTATTTAATTGGGGATGGCTTGGTTCCCTCCCAGATGTTTCTTTTCAGCAGATAACATTGTGTTTTAAAACTTTGGATAATTATAGCCCTGCAAACTCAGAGTACAAGATTTGTTGGCTCCATGTCTCTTCTTATGTAATAGCTTCATTGTCTACTAATCACCCTATCCACAAAGGGAAGGGATCCATGTCAAGCAAAGATATTTATTCAAAGCCACTTCACAGAGCCTGTAAACAGTAGCTGAAGCAATCTACCAGTAGAACCAAACACTGCTGCTGGAGGACTTGGCCACCAAGACTGACCAGGGCTGGCTCCTTAAGCTGAGGAATGACTTCTGAGGTAAGAGTTTTCCTCCCTCCTCCCTTGTTACTCACCACCCCCTAGTCAGTTTTCCTTATAGCTGCCTCAATTCCTGCTGACTACAGGGAAACTTGAATAGGCTTGGCCATATCCACTTCATCATCCTGCAAAAGTAAGATGGCGATGAATGCCTGCAAAGGAAGCTTTATTAAGCACCAGAGAACATGGTACTAGCTGCCAGAGAAGACTTCAAGTTTAGATCAATCAATGAACATTTAGTAAGCACCTGCTATGTGCTAGGCACTGTGTTAAATGCTGGGGATACAAAAAGAGGGAAAAATCAGTCCCTGCCACAAGGAGCTTAGAATCTAATGAAAGAGACACATCCCCACTCTCCAGTAATCAAAGTTGCACTACATACTTCTCCGTCATGGACTTAACTGATGACAAGAAGGGAAGGGTATGCTAGTAGCCTCAGGCTCTATCCTAGAAGGCTCCATATCTAGCCGGTTGTATCTTCTTGTCAGTTCTGCTCCATAATATCTTCAATATCTCTCCCTTCACCTTCATTCTCAGGGTGTGGTTACCCATGTATTCCTGAAGGTGACTCTGGTTGCTGTCCTTTGTACCTGGAATGCCCTTCTGCCACAAGGAATCCTAAGCTTCCTTCAAAGTAGCCACCACCTCCTGCCAAAAGCCTTTCTTAGTCTTATCTGTTGTTAGTACTCTCCCTGCCCCTTCCATCCCCAAATTATTTTGTATCTTTTTATATTTTTTGCTTGGAGATGCAGTGTAGTATTTCAGATAGAAAACTGGTCATTGAATCAAGAAAGCACCTGGGTTCAAATCTTACCTCTGATACCTAAGTGCAATTCACAAAACAGTTCAGTGCCCCCAGGAAACTCTCTGTGGAGGTCATTTGTAGAATAGTTGCCAATATAGGTAAAGGAAATGCCATCACTAGAAGTTTCCTACACATGTCCAGACCAACAAAATTGTTGTATTCCCTTACCTGTGAACATATTGCCTCCCCAATAGACTGTAAGATTCTTGAGGGTAGAGATTGTTTCATTTTTTTTTTTTGGTCTCTGTGTCCCTAGCACCTAGTACAGAGTAGATACTTGATAATTCTCATTGAATCAAATTGTGTTAAGTTGACTGTAGGGGGCTTGGAGTGGTGTAAACAGGAAGCTTTTTTAAAAAAATAGAATTGAGAAAGCATGAAGATGTCAATAAGGACAGGAGAAACAATTTAAAGCCTCCTTACACATTTGCTATTGGCTTTGGGTCAGAAAAGAAGAGGACTATTTCAATGGAATTTCTATGTGTAAGAGAGATAAGCAACCATGGATTGTCCAAATGGATGGACACAGTTTATGAGCGGTATGGATAGATGCAGATGTGAGACTTAGCCTAGGGCTGCCTGCACCCTCAGCATGCTAGCTGTGGGAGAGAGGCAGGCTGGCCAGCCTCTCTGAAGCTGGACATTCTTTTTTCCAATTTCTGAGAGAGGTATCAGACTAAACTTTTCCACTGCATCTCAGATATCTTTCTATTCTAGAGGTATGAAGCTCAGGACAAAAGAGACATTATCCCTGGTTGCTCTTAATGGGCAGAGCAGCCCCTAGATTACAGGGACTCTTTCTCATTGAAAGACCATAACCAAACACAGATGGCAAGAAAACCCATTTATCCAAACAAACAGTAAACAAAAATTAGAGAAATTATGTAAAATAGAATATACTAGAAAATGCATGAGTATGAATGAGTTCCTCAGCTAGGAATAAGATATTTCAGCTCAAACCAGGAGACAGAGAATGGCCTCACCCCAAGTGGAGTCTTCTCTGGATCACAAGCTCTGAGAGTCTAATATGTTAAGGCATTGTCTTTCCCTACATGTCTGCAGCTCTGTGGAGATCTCAGAGCTTTTCTCTCAAAATTGTCTCTCCCTAAAGAGTCTCTGGAATCAATTCACTGATTTTCTTATGCAGGTCTGCAGCATTAAGGTCAGCATTCTTGTCACCATTCAGGTGTCACATCTCCCTCTACATGCAACACTTAGCACTGGGCTGCTTCTCTCTCACCCCTCTTGGGTAAGAGACCATTTACGTGTGACTGAAAAGAAAGCCATAGAATTTTCCAAATCAGGGTTCAGGCACCAGCGTAGACCTTTTTACTTAGAACTAAGGAGTCCTGGAGTCCAGAGAGAAAAGGCTTTATATTTTCAAGATCAAAGGGAGCTAAGAGAAATAACTCTGCCCAGGGTTGAGGATAGAATGCCCTATCAGGGGAACTAGGAAGTAAAACTAGTTCTGTTTGTTAAAAGCTTAATTATTGATTGATTCACCTTATGCCAAAATAAAGGTCTTTGGCAAAGATCAGGAAGGAGACCAGATCTGAAACTTACTACCTGCATGGGGTATGTACCCTGAAATTGCCACTCACTGCAGTGAAGAAATTGAGATAGCTGATTATGTGGGTGCTTGCTATATGAGTCTTCAGGGTCCCGCTGAGGTCCATAAAGCATAATGAGCAAAACAAACACATGTATTATACTGATTGGCAATCAGATGTTGGTCAGGAGGCAAGAGAGACTCAGGAAGTAGTAGCTAGCTGCAGATCTCAGGGACTATGGGATGTAGATTTATATCTTTCTTGAATACAGGTCAACACGGAGGGCTCCACTTCTACTCTGGGGCTACATATCAGGTGGAGTATATATGACCAGCAGGTACAAGCCTGCCTTTGAAGTCACTCATTTAGCTCATCCAGCTTTCCCCTTTTATACCTTATTATAACCTCTCCACATAAGGCTATAGATCCCTATTGACCACCATTTGTCATTCTAGATCATTCCAGAAAATACAAATTTATTACAATTGCAGTAATATATTAGTCACCTAGAGGCAACTAATATTGGAGTCAGGAAGACTTGAGTTCAAATGCTGCCTCAGACACTTTACTAGCTAGGTGACTCTGAGCGAGTAACTTAATTCTCAGAGGCTCATTTTCTTCATTTGTAAAATGAAGATAATAATAGCATCTGCCTCCCAGGGTTGTTGTGAAAATAAAATGCAATAACATATGTAAAGGGCTTTGAAATTTTTAAATAAATAAATGCTAGCTATTCTGTATGTTATACAAAGATCGTTCCAGAATAAGCAGAACTGTGATTCCCTAAGATGGTTAGGGGTCTTGACCTGACCCTTCTAGACAAAAGAGGACCAAAACTAGTTGGTGGCGCTCACCAAACTAGAGGGTAAAGGAGATGGAGAGAGGTCGTACCAAAATTCATGGACCTCAGAATATTACTTTGGATATGTCTTTTGAGTGGTGGCAGCAGCAGCTTACCTAAAAGACGAAAATAGCTCCAGAACTTACTGCCTTCCTTCCATTTTTCTTTTCTTTCTTTTCTTCCTTCCTTCCTTTCTTTCTTTTTCTTTCTTTCTTTCTTTCTTTCTTTCTTTCTTTCTTTCTTTCTTTCTTTCTTTCTCTCTCTCTCTCTCTCTCTCTCTCTCTCTCTCTCTCTCTCTCTCTCTCTCTCTCTCTTTCTTTCTCTTTCCTTACTTCCTTTTTAATTTTTCTTTTGTGGGCAAGAGGGGCAGGTTGGAAGGCAAGGTTAGAAGGGAGGAAGAGAGATCTAAAGGATATGTGAGATGACTGGGAGAAGGGACATACATAAGCAACTGGGTCTGAATATTATTGTTCCATGTCTAGTCTATACGGCATCCATGCTGTATACAAAACACATATCATGAAATGTTTCCATTATTTGCATTATTCATTTTTTTTCACTGCTTCTGCTCTAGCATGCATAAGGCAAGAAGGGATGTAAAGGAAAAGTATTGCACCTCTCCCATTAGCTTCCATCGAAAACCAGGCAGCTTCCAACTGGAATGACTGCTTTTCATCTCAGGAATTGCCTTTAATGTAGTTGTTTTCAGTGATTTCACTTTACTGAGAGAAATGATTATGGTCTAGGATCGCAAGCTCTCTTTGACAAGCACAAACCCCTTCCCTGCAGGGAAACAGGCTCCTCCAAGCACCACGCATTGTTTATCTAAAAACAGTGTTTTATTATGGTCTTTCAATTAGCCTAGACAGCAGACACAAATGAGTTTCAAGAACAATATCCTTACGCTGCCTATCACTTATAAAATGCCAAAGTCGGCACTAATAGTTTGCTAATAAAATAAAAATACACACAGACTGCCCCATGATTACTCAAATAGTCAGCAAATTTCCTCTACTGTTCATTTTCAAATCTCTTCTTAATCTAATTACCTAAAACATTTTTTATTGCAGTTCAAACACAATAACAAAGAAACAGTAGCCTTTTTAATAAAAAAAAACCTGTTTTGATTTTATGTATTTATGAGCAAACAACTACCATTCTACGGACACAAACTTGGGAATGGGACCTTTTCTCTGAATGCAGACTGACTCCCCATTTTCCCTGAGGTCAAACTTTAACCCATAATGGCTTTTTTTCTTCAATAATTTTAATTTTTCAAATTTTACAACATCATTTCATGGACACCTCCTAAAATCCACTGCCAAACATCTCTGAAAGTGGTCTCTCCCTCTTTTGTTGCTGTTGCAGGGAAAAAAGGGCTATTATATTCAAAGATTTCATCTGTTTTGGAAATTCATACTTCCCACACTGAGGTTCTCATTTGAATTTTCTGTAACAGAAAAGACCTCTGAATTGAGGAAAAAATGATAATGATGATGCATTTAGAACCTCTTGCTTTGTCATTTTTTTTCAGATTTTTTTCAATTAATAAATATTTATTAAGCCCCTGCCAAGTGGCAGACACTGTGCTAAGCACTGAGGGTACAAAAATGACAAACCTGCAGACAATACTTACCTTCAAGGAGCTTACATTAAATCGACCAAAGAGAATGGTCATCTTTAAGGCTTAAAAATAATAAAGATAACATGCTGTCTACTACTATAGAAACTTAGAGTTTAGTAGACAATGCCTTTGACATTGCTGTTACTTAATTGTTTCTGAGTTGTGTCTGACTCGTCATGA